TGGCCCTTGATGGCAGGCCTTGGGCGGATGTCAATGTTGTACTGGCTCAAGAAGATAGCCCATTTCACCATGCGGGAGGAGCTGGTGGGGCTCCTCATGAGGGCGCCGAGGGGTTGATGAGTGAGGACCTGAACCGGGTGAGCCTGAAAGTAGTGGCCCAACTTCTTGACAGTCCAAACGATGGCCAACACCGTTTTTTCCACAGGGGAGTACCTGAGCTCGGCCTCCCTTAGGGTCTTGCTAACGTAGAAGATGGCGTGTTGGGTGCCTTCTTCCTCCCGAATGAGCACAGAGCTGATGGCCGCCGGGCTAACCCCAAGGTAGAGGTAGAGGGTCTCCCCTACCTTGGGTTTGGAGAGCACAGGAGGTGAAGATAGATATCGTTTGAGCTCGTCGAAAGCCCCCTGGCATTCCGGAGTCCATAGAAAGCCATCCGTCTTCCTCATGATCTGGAAGAAGGGTAGAGACTTCTCCGCCGATTTAGATAGAAAGCGGTTGAGGGCTGCCAGGCGGCCCGTCAACCGTTGAACTTCCTTCACGTTGCATGGGGGCTCCATGTTGATGATGGCCTGGATCTTCTCGGGATTGGCCTCAATACCCCTTCGGCTCACCATGTAGCCCAAGAATTTGCCTCCTTGGACGCCGAAGGTGCACTTCTTCGGGTTTAGCCGAAGGTTGAATTTTTGCATGATGGCGAAGATTTCCCGGAGGTCGTCAGCATGGCTGGAAGATTGTTTGCTCTTGACGATCATGTCGTCAACGTAGGCCTCCATGGTGCGCCCTAAGACGGCTTGAAAGACCCGGGCCACCATCCGGGTGTAAGTGGCCCCTGAGTTCTTTAGGCCGAAGGCCATTACAAGGTAGCAGAAGATGCCCTCGGGAGTCTGAAGGCAGTTTTTTCGGCGTCTTCCTCGTGCATGAAAATTTGGTGATACCCTCGGAAGGCATCGAGGAAGGACATGATCTCACACCCTGCGGTCTCATCCACCAGTTGATCAATATTCGGTAGGGGGAATGGATCCATAGGGCACGCCTTGTTGAGATCGGTGTAGTCCACGCACATGCGAAAGGTAGGGGGCTTCTGTGCGAGGACCACATTCGCTAGCCATGAGGGATATTTCACCTCCTTGATGTGCTTAATAGAGAGGAGCATGGCGACCTCCTTCTTCACAAATTCCCTCCTCTCGGCGGAGAGGGGTCTTCTTCGTTGTTGCACTGCCTTTGCCGAAGGGTCCACCGAGAGGCGGTGGGTGATGACCCTTCGGCTGATTCCCGGCATGTCCCCCGGCCCCCATGCAAAGACAGTGGAGTAGGCGCGGAGGGCGTCGGTGATACCGGTCTTCAAATCTTCAGGGAGCTGGGCTCCAATCTTCACGACTCTCTCCGGCTGGGCCGGATCGAGCGCAAAGTCTTCTACGTCCTCGGCCGGTTCAGCCCTCGGCCTTTTTTCTTCTTGGTCGATGGTTCCGGTGATGGTGTCAACACGGAATTCCGTCTTGCTTACCTTCTTAGTGACCTGAAGATAGCAGACGCGGGCAATTTTCTGGTTCCCCCGGGAGTAGCCAATGCCCCCCTCGGCGGGAAACTTCAGGCAGAGATGCCTCATGGAGATGATGGCTTCGAGGTCCTCGAGGGCTGGCCGGCCGAGGATGATGTTGTGGGCGCAGTCAATGTTGACGACGACGAACTCCACCTCGAGCTGGGCTCTATGGAGCCCGTCGCCGAAGATCACCGGGAGGGTTATTACCCCCTCGGAATCAATAGTGTCCCCGGTGAAGCCGGCAAGAGGGGTCTTAATGGGCCGAAGGGACCCCCTCTCCAGATGCAGCTCTCTGAAGGTGCTGAGGTACATTACATTGACGGAGCTGCCCGTGTCAATGTAAGTTCGGTGAATGATGGTGTCGCTTATCTCCGTCCGAATTACCAAGGCATCCCTATGAGGAGAAGAAGTAGGGGGGAGATCTGCGTTGGTGAAGGTGATGGGTTCCTCCCTCAGTCGCTTTACCGGGGGCATATGAGTGACTTCCCCTACGTAAAGTGATTGAGCCCACTTCTTTCGCTGGCTGGTGGAATCGCCCCCTGTATTGCCACCGGTGATCATGAGGATGTGGCGTTTCTTCTCCTGGTAGTGGGGGTACTCCTCCTCCTCTTCTTCCAAGTTTCCGATCTCCCTCTTCTTGCCGAGGGGGATGGTGTTCGGATTTACCCAGGCATTTACCTTCGTATGGTGCCCTCGGGGAGGTCCCTGATGAGAAGGTCCCTCCTGCCGAGGGCTCTGGACAAATTGGGACAGGTGCCCCGCCTGTATTAATCTCTCGATGGCCGTCTTCAGCTGATGGCAGTCATCGGTCCTGTGCCCCTGGTGCCGATGGAAGCGACAGTAGGGGAACTGAGGGTTGATAGCGTGTACCTCCGGGGGTGCGCGAGAATCACGCTCAACGAGGCCCCTCTCCTCGGCAAAATCGAGGATGATGCTGACGGGGTGCGTCAATGGTGTCCGAGGGCGGTCCAGGAGAATGGGTTGTGCCCAAGTCTTGGGGTTGCTCTTATATCCTCCCCCGGGCTTGGCTTGGCCTTGCCGAGGGCGGTCATCAGAGGGTCTCGAAGCCTTGGGGTGATTTGGAGGAGCCCCCGGCCCTCGGTTATGCTTATTGTCAGCCCTCGGGGGCTGCTGGTCCGGATGCTGGTGATACTTCTCCACCTCCTCGGCTTCAGCATATCGGTCCCCCCGCTGCAAAGCCCTTATGTAGTCGCGGGGGGGTTCAATGATGAGGCTCCTTGAAAAGTTGCCGGTGCGGAGGACGGTTTGTAGGAGGGCCAGGAGGGTCCCGTCATCAGCACCGTCGACCTTGTCGGCCTCCGTCCTCCAGCACTCCAGGAAGTCCCGAAGGGTCTCATCCCTCTTTTGGCGTATAGTTAGGAGGTGGGAGAAATGCTTCCTCGTGCGACGCCTCCCGGCAAATTGTGTCAAGAATCGCTGGGCGAGTTCTTGCCACGAATCAATGCAGCCCTCGGGCAGCCTGTTGAACCATTCGTACGCCGGCCCCTCTAAGGTGGAGAGGAACCAACGACACAAATATTCGTCTGACGCCCCTACCATCATCATGCTGTTCTGGTATTTGCTGTAATGTTCCTGGGGGTCCGTTTTTCCGTTGTAGGGCTGTATGTGTTGCCCTCGGTATTTCTCCGGGATCCGGGCCGCCAATACCCTTGGGGTAAATGGCGTCCGAGTCCAGAGCTGGATGACGGGTTCCCCGGAGCCCTCGGCCACCTTCTTCTGTAACTCCTCCATTTTGGCCATCATGGCCTCGTATTTGAGATCTGAATGAGGGGTGGAGGTGGTGGCGTGAGCTTTGTTGGACTCCATCTCGTCAAGCCGGCGTTGGAGGGCCGCAATAATCTCGTCCCGGGGATCCTTCGGGAGGGTCTCCGCCCCCTGCGAATGAACCCGGGCCGAGTGGGCCTGGTTGATCTGGTGGCGAGCGTCATCGGCATGAAGGGATGCCTTGCCTTTGTCCCGAGGGGGACGCTCCTCATCTGCCCTCGAAACAGATCCCCCGCTTTCCTGGGGCCTTTGGAGTGCTTTCCCCCCGAGGCGGTCTTGGACCCCTCGGCGGTCTGGCCCTCCTCCGAGCCGGTTGAGGGCGGAGGTACGGGGCCTTTCCCTGTTGTCATTATGGCGGTCCCGGGACTGAACTTCCTGGGAGGACGTATCCTGGGCCACCACCCCTTCGTCGTTTCTCACCCGAGGGGTGGGATTTCCGAAGGGGTGTGGCAGAGGGGGAAGTATGATATTTTCCCCGATCTGAGGGTGAGCTGGAGCCAGGATGAAGGCGGAGAGCGCCGATTGCACGTCGATGGTGAGAACCGGAGGGCTGACTTGGTCATCGCTCCGGTTTTTCTTCTTGGCCTCGATGCCGAGGCGGGCACCGGGGGCGTTTTGTTGGATCTGAAGGCGTAGGTCGACAGCCGCCTGTTCCAGCCCAGCGATGACACCGCCCTCGGGAGCCCTGTGAGAGGCTTCGGGGGCGTTGACGTCGCCGAGGGCCAGGTTCTTGTCTTCTACGTTCTTCGAGTTGGCACGTGTTGTCCTCACCATTTTGATAGAGGGCTAGTGTTTTGTGTTTGGTCGAAGGGGAGGGTTTCTTACTCGATTGTTCGACCTCTCAATGAAAGCACCAAATGATGGATAGTCTACCCGGGGGTATATATCCGAAGGGTTATTACGGGGAATAACTTAGAGAGAAGTCAGAGCAAGTAAGTAAAAGTAGAGAGAGAGTGTATTCAGTATGAATGCCGTTTTTAGCGTGGTTACAAATGAGGAAATGAGGTGCTATTTATAGTAGCAATAAATGCCGGACAGGGACACGTGTCAAGCGCTCATTGGCCGAGGGGTCACCTCAACTGGTTGGCGCTGGCAGCCGCATGTGCCCGCATTTAATGCGGTTGTTGGATGGGACGTCTGTGCAGGGTACGACGATCTGTACGCATGTGAGGCGGATATCTTGTCGAGTGAGATGCCTTCGGCCATAGAGCAGTAGCCGAGGGCTCCTCCAACCGATGGCACCCTGGTGCCGAGGGCTCACAGTGCCGAGGGCTACTGTTTTCGCCGTTTTCTCCCAGTTTCTTAATTTGCTTGAGAAACCCGTTCTGTGAGAATTTAGAGCCTTCGGCCAGGGGGCCGAAGGCACCCCTGGCGCGTAGTGCGGGCTGCTTGGTACTCTGGGTGCTGTGATTTGGGCCTGCTGGGCCTGTTGGGCCTTCACTGAAGTAGTAGGAGTCTGTGGGCCGGGGGTTCCCGGGCCATATACTCCATCAATGACATTTTATAAAAAAGAAATTATTTACCACATCGCAACATTTGATTGAATGTATATTTAATGTAAAATTGATATGGATAAGGGAGAAACGAGTCGAGCATGAAGCTATGGAGGGTGCACAAAGCAATTTTAATTAACTTTTTAAATATACTTAATTTTAATTAATAATTAAGAAGGCCAAATTTGTAGAACTTTGTGAAATTGTGGGGTGCAAAGCAACCCCTATTGAAAAAGTTCATCTTTAATGCAAGTGTTTGGTGTACAAGTTTGGCATGCATATCGTGATTCGTGACCTTTGCAAAAACTCTTCTAGTTCATAAATCTATCATTATCTACAAATACTTAAAAGCAACAATATCATTACCGAATTGAATTCGGACAACATCATTGCATCTTGATTGTGGGATGAAGCAAATCCCGATCAAGTATGGAGTGGGACAGCAACTCTGATTTAAGTGAAAGCGAAGATGGAATGGATGAGGAAGAGAAACTAGGGTTCTTGCTCAGCAGCAATGGCGGCAGAGAGCTGCTGCCTCTGCCCGTCGACTCGCTTCTTCATCCTGCGCCTTGCGGCTTCGTGGTCACCGACGTGCTCGAGCCCGATCACCCAGTTGTTTACGTGAATTCGGTTTTTGAGATGGTCACTGGCTATCGAGCTGAAGAGATCCTTGGCAGAAACTGGCAAGTCCTACACACTCAAATTTGCCTTTCACTTGTCAAATACAATTCGTTTTCCACTTATTGAAACAATAGATAAAACTTTTGGGAAGCTTAAAGATGTGAGTTTGGCTGTTGTGTAGAGGTATATAAGTTCATTTGTAACTAGTAAAAGCTATACACTCGAATATGTGCAATTGGGCATTTATCAAAGACAATTATTATGCCACTACTTGAGACACTGGGTGAAACTTATGGGGATATCAAAATCGAAAAGTTGTATACTGTACTGTAGGCTGTAGCAGTTCATTTTTTGTTTCCTTAGATTTGTTGTTATCCCCATGAAACTCTAGGGGTCAACTGTTGAAATGGGAAACCATTGTTGAGATTTCATTTTATTTATAATATGTAGAAACGGTTTTGCTTTTGACAATTGCAATTTTCAAGATATATGTGCATATGAGCGTGTAGCTATTTTCTTCTTTGATCTCAAGCTGTGTTGCAAGGGAATGTGGGGAACATGGGGAAACAGGAAATGAGAAGCACCATCCTTTAATAGAGAACGATTGTTTAGAGAGTTTCTAAAGAATATTGGTAGAGTTCTGTTAGAACTATGCAAATTCTACACTGGCCGAAGCCCCCAAAGATAGAGATACAACTCTGATCTTCCCAGAAATGACTGAGTCAGAAAGCAGCCTACTCACAATTTCCAGCTAGCTACTATTTATAGTAAGTAACTCTTACTAACCGAAGACAGTTATTAGCTAACAATGACTTTAACTAATAACTAACTCTACTTCCTTCTAGAATATACTTTGCCAAAGTATCTATCTTCTCTTCTCGGATTAGTAGAGTCTCTAACAATACCCCCTCTGAAAATCCAACTTGTCCTCAAGTTGGAATGCTGGAAATTGTTGTTTGATGATATCTTCCTTCTCACATGAGTCTTCAAAATCTGGAAGATCTTCCCAATGCACCAAAACTTCCTTCCCCCCGTAGCATTTATTCTGACATCCTTTATCTTCTCAGGCCTTACCAGTAATTCACACTCCTCTGTCATGCCAACTGGAAGGTCTTGGCATGTACTAGTAGGTCTCAAAACCTTCTTCAGTAGGGAAATATGAAACACATGATGAACTCTACTTCCCTCAGGTAACTTTAGCTTGAAAGCCACTGGATTAATCTTCTCTAGGATTTCAAAGGGTCCATAGAACATGGGGCTTAATTTCTGATTGCTCCGGTGGACTAGACTCTTCATTTTATAGGGCTGTATCTTCAAAAACACACTGTATCCAACTTCTAGCTTCACTTCTCTTCTGTGTTTGTCTGCTTGTTTCATTTGGTTTTGAACCTTGGCCAAATGCTCCTTTAATTCTTTAAGCATCTCATTTCTTTCTGCTGTCAGCCTAGACACCTCCTCCACTGAAGATAGGCTGACATCCCCTCTGATGATTACAGGTGGCTCTTGACCAAGTAATACTTTATAGGGAGTATTCTGCAAAGAAATATGATAATTGGTATTGTACCATAGTTCAGCCCAAGGTAGCCATTTAACCCATTGCTTTGGTTTCCTACCAGTCATACATCTCAAATAAGTCTCCAGGCACCTGTTTACTACTTCAGTTTTTCCATCACTCTGTGGATGATAAGCTGTACTATACTTCAATGTAGTCCCTGCTGCTTTAAACAGTTCTGACCAGAATGTGCTCAGAAACAGGCTGTCTCTATCGCTTACTATGGATTTAAGAAATCTATGAATCTTCACTACATCCTTCATAAACAACTCAGCCACTTCCTTAGCATTATAAGGATGTGTTAAGGGCAGAAAATGAGCAAACTTGGTTAATCTATCCACCACCAACAATATTGTATCCTTCCCCATTGATTTAGGCATCCCTCCAACAAAATCCATACTGATATCACTCCAAGTATGGGTAGGTATAGGCAATAGCAACCCTGCAGGCTTTAGAGCTTGGTACTTGTTCCTTTGACATACATCACAACCCTGAACAAATTTCTGAATCTCAGATCTCATTCCCACCCAATAGAATAGGTTAGATATCCTTTTCATAGTTCTGAAATACCATGAATGACCTCCCAAGGCTGATTCATGGTATTCTTTCAGTATTTTTGCAATTCTGCTAGATCCCTTAGGTATGACTAACCCGCCTTTGAAATATAGTAATCCACCAGTGGTCCTATAATTCTTCACCTGGTCAGGTTGAGTTAGAATCTTCTGGATTAATCCTCTACACCAAGCATCCTTCTCCAACTCTTGTTCCATTCCCTTCCATTCTTGACAGGTTACTATGGATAAGGACTTCATAGTCATTTTTCTGGAAAGAGCATCAGCAGCTCTATTTTCCACTCCTGGCTTGTATTTGATGATAAAATCATAGCCCATCAATTTGGTAATCTACTTCTGCTGATCTTCTCCCATAACTTTCTGCTCAGTTAGGTATTTCAAACTCTTCTGATCTGTTAATACCTCAAACTTCCTTCCCAGCAGGTAGGGTCTCCATTTCTGAACTGCAAAGAATATGGCCATCAGTTCCTTCTCATATACCGACTTCATCTGATGTTTGGGGGATAATTCCTTGCTCATAAAAGCTAAGGGTCTGCCTTCTTGCATCAATACAGCACCTACTCCCTTCCCTGATGCATCGGTTTCCACAGTAAACATTTTGCTGAAATCAAGAGTTTTTAACACTGGTAAAGTAATCATGGCTGTTTTCAATTCCTTAAAGCCGTAAAGGCTTCTTTTGCTTTATCATCCCAAATGAACCCATCCTTTTTCAACAATCTATTCAAGGGTGCAACAATCTTACTGTATCCTTTGACAAACCTCCTGTAGTAACCAGTCAAGCCAAGGAATCCTCTCAAGCTTTTGGTGTCCTGTGGTTCCTTCCAGTCCATCATGCCTTCAATTTTACTGGGATCTGCAGAAACTCCTTCTGAAATGATGTGGCCTAAATAAACCAACTGCTTTTGACCAAAAGAGCATTTCTTTACATTTTCCACCAGTTTATTATTCTGTAAAGCCTCTAATATCTTCCCCAAATGCTCCTTGTGCTCCTCAATAGATTTGCTATATATTAGTATGTCATCAAAAAATACTAAAGCAAATTTCCTTAGAAAAGGTCTGAGGATATCATTCATTAAGGCTTGAAAGGTGGAAGGAGCATTAGTAAGCCCAAAAGGCATTACCAAGTATTCATAATGTCCTTCATGAGTTCTAAATGCAGTTTTGTGGGTGTCACTGGCCTTCATTCTGATCTGGTGATATCCAGATTTCAGATCCAATTTTGAGAATATTTTGGCTCCACCTAACTCATCAAGCATTTCTTCAATAACTGGGATGGGGAATTTGTCAGGTACTGTTATTTTTTGCTAATAAAATGGAGCTGCTATAGGGGCTGTTACTATTTTTAATGATTCCAGCATTTAACATTTCATGAATAATTCTCTCTATTTCATTCTTCTGGTCATAGGTGTACCTGTATGGTCTTAGATTTGGAATGCTGGCTCCTTTAATATTGATTGAGTGGTCACTCCTTCTTGAAAACTTCTGGAAATTCATTCAGAACCTCTTCCCATTCCACAAAGCCTTCTTTATCATGTTCCCCTTCTTGCAATTTCCCTTCACAATAAAGCAGATACCCATCTCCCACTTGCTGAATTATCTGGGTCATGGCCTTTAATGAGACTTCAACATTATTAAGGGCTGAATCACCCTTAATCATCCATTCCTGACCTCCTTGTTTCCACTTCAGTGTCTGTTCTTGGAAATTGACCTCCATATTCCCCAATTTGGTTAACCATTCCAACCCTAGAATCACATCTGTACCTCCCAGTTATAGGATAGAAAGTTTGATTGATTTCAACCCCTTGTACAGTCAACTTCAATCCCACACACCTGCCATTGTTCTGTATAAACTCCCCATTCCCAATCTGGACTTTATACCCCTTGATTTGGTTGTAAGGAATACTCCATTTGTCCACACAATTTTGAGATATAAAATTGTGTGTAGCCCCACTATCAATGAGTATATTCACCATCCTTTCTTCTGCAGCCCACTTCAATTTTCCCCAGATCTTGAAGGTTCTCAAAGAAGGAATACCTTCCCTGCTAAGCACAGACAACTGCATTGCTTTAGATTCCATATAATTTTCTTCTTCTTCTTCAGAACTACTGGAAGCAATTTCAGGTTCTGCCTCTTCTTCAGAATCTTCAATTAGAACCATCCTGTAATTTTTCATCTTGCACACATGCCCCCTACTCCAGTTATCACCACACTTGAAACATAATCCTTTCTTACTTCTCTCCATCAGTTCATTTTGAGATAATCTTGGTCTTATTTTTCTGGAATTAGAACCTTCACCACCAACTGCAACTTTGTTATCCATACTATTCTTCCCAGAAGAATGTGTCAGCATAGTGTTACTGCTATTCTTACTTCCCTCACCCCATTTTTGATAATGAGCTCCTCGCACAGTATTATTCCTCCAAAACTTCTTCCCTTCTTCCTTACTCTTCCCGGATAATATCTCCTCATTCTTGTTTTCAATTAACAATGCCTTATCCATGATTTCAGCCAAATCTTTAGTCTTATACAACTTCAATTCCGCTCTGATATCCTTCTTTAGACCATTTAAGAAGATTCCTCTCATTACTTTACTGTCCAGATTATCTACAGAAGCAATGGCCATTTCAAATTGTTCACGATATTCTTTGACAGAATTCTTTTGTTTCAGGCTCAATAAAGGGCCCAATGGATTCTGAACCAATTCTGGTTGAAAGCGACGGGTCAATGCTTTCTTCAACCTCGCCCAGGCCCTCTCTCTAGCCTATTTCTCCCACCCCTAAAACCAGCTAAGGGCCTTATCTTCCATTGCGAGTACTGCCACTTCGACTTTCTCTTCCTCTTCAATATTGTTGTGCCTGAAGTAACGATCAATTCTGACTAGCCATCCGTAAGCATCTTCACCATTGAATAACGGTAGGTCAATCTTCCTCCTCGACTGATGATGTTGACGATGTTGATGAGGCGGAGAATAATCCGAATGGCCTTCGGATCCTTCGGAACTTTCATTATGTTGCGTAGATGGTCGATGCGAAGTGCGATGCGACGCGTGGGAAGCTTGCGACCGACTTCGCGAACGATGTTGATCTCTCGCATCCAATCTCGCCAGAATCGCAGTTAACACCTCCGTGTTCTGCTGTAAAATTTTCTCCACGTTATCCATCCTAGCTTCCATTTTTCCTCGTGTCTGTACCATCCACAACGATCGAAATCTCTGATACCAATATTAGAACTATGCAAATTCTACACTGATTTACAGAATTATCACAAGAACACAACTGCTCAAACTTTATTGAAAAGGCAACAATGGCCGAAGCCCCCAAAGATAGAGATACAACTCTGATCTTCCCAGAAATGACTTAGAGTCAGAAAACAGCCTCTTCACAATTTCCAGCTAGCTACTATTTATAGTAAGTAACTCTTACTAACCGAAGACAGTTATTAGCTAACAACGACTTTAACTAATAACTAACTCTACTTCCTTCTAGAATATACTTTGCCAAAGTATCTATCTTCTCTTCTCGGATTAGTAGAGTCTCTAACAAGTTCGCGATATAGAGTCCCCAAAACTGAAATATACTCTTTCTCTAGAGTTTCCGTGGTTCATAGATCTCAAGTAAAGGAAGGGACCAATTTTCTAGTTACTACGAATGAGAAATTATGCTTTTCCCATCATTATGTGTTTTGGATTCTCCAGATCCAACATTTATCACTTAAACACCCTAGACTAAGGATATCGAGAATAACGGTGACAAATGTAATGATGTTTGTGTGGAAACCATTACAGTGAATTTGCGAGCACCACAGGCTTATTTTGAGTGTTACTGTGACAAATTCCCCTTCTTTTTACTACTCAGATGAGGTGGCTCATTTACATGTGTAGCGTAGCCCTAGCTATCTGGCCACTTTTTCTATCAAGAGAATGCGTGAGAATATAATATCAGTGTTGTGTACAAGTACAATGGGTATGCCTCTATCATTCTATGTAATAGTTATACTAGCTAGGCAATATGTACCATGAACAGTTGTAATCCTCCTCATGGACCACTGTACTATACTACGTATATGGTGTTTTCATTCTTCACGGAGATCTTCATGGTGGTAAGGGTTTAGTCTTATCTAGAAGGTTAAAGTTAGCATGTACGCAATATCAGTAATACGTTAGTGAGATCCCAATCTTTTCAGTGGTAGAGTTTTTCAGTCTCTTTGTCAATGCGTTCTGGAGGTGCAGGTGACATCGCCATTAGAGGCGTAAGTATAGGTAGAACTTGGTTGGGACAACATGTTATTCTGGGGTAGCAAATGATTTTCTGTTAATGATGATGCCATCGGAGGAGGGGCTGGTGACTTTTTTCAACAATGGTAGCGCACTTTAGAATTTGGTTTAAGTCATTAAGATGTAATGGTTCTTAGTTTCTTATGCGCTATTCACTGGTCCGGTAAGGGGAATACCACCTCCAGTCAGGATCAAACTCTGCATGAGATTCATTGTTGCATTACTTATAGCTTCCTCCTTGTTCATGGACAAAGAGGTAAAAAGTGTAAGGCTGTTCAATCGTAGTTTCTGTAAGCGAACCTTGCTGTTGATTGCGGCTGCAAGGATTGCAAAGGATTGTGAAAATCTGTTTGATTGGTCAAAGGCAACAATGAGACAGTGACTGATCTCAGCTCTCTCAGCGCAATCAGCAAGATCATCGGAAAAGCATATGAAAAACGCACTATAAGCATAAGCCGCTGAAACCATGTTTACCTGAAATGAGGCTTACATCTTGCTCTCTCTGAGGTGCCAAGGTGCATTGACTCTCCCGTGAATTTTAATGCTAACTTTCTTTCAAATCGGCAGAAGTATTTAGGCCGACTATATAAATAGTTCATCCTCCCTTTATAAATATCATAGTTTGACTTTCACATATCTTAAAGACATCAGATTTGGTTTATTTGACTTTAAGGAATGTCCTTTCCATGGGGGGTTAGTATTATTGTACAATCTATTGTTTTGTCCACTACACAAGTAACATAAGTACTGCCTACAACAGACGCCAATGTTATTTGAGGGTAGTAGAGTAAATTAATACTCCGTAAGATTTTATTTTCTGAATAAGGATGGCGGACTTAATTTAAAGGCATTGTAAAAGGAAAACAGCCAAACAGGTAAATTGAATAGGGACAAAGTGAATTTAGTTATGTTATGCTTGTCGCTAATAGTTCCAATATTCTGTGCTGAAACCAAGTTTTAAGGAGAAGAAAAAAGATTCCTTCTAATAAAGGAAATAGTTCTAGAAAATAGTGCAATATGGTCACAAGCTCCCTTATGTGCTACTGTAAGAGTTCGGGAAAGGTCGCGAGGTTTAGTGTTACCATATGTTTTTTATTAAAGGACCCCCTGAACACAGCCTTAAAATTTTTCTGCAGTTCAGTCCTATTACCTTCGGGTCACATGACCATACTTCACCAAGGTTCTGTAAAACACCTAGTTCTATTTGGGAAATAACAAGACACAACCGCATTAAATGAAATATGCACTACTGATCTTTTCTATCTCCTGTCATTAATAGTTGTAATCATAGTATTTGTACCTTGGGTAACGAACCACTTAGAAATGCCAACTGAACTTGCATAGTTGAATATGTAATTTCTCAGCTTCTCAGAGGTTAAATACTATTTTCTCTAAATAGTTTCTTTTGATTTTTTTTATGTTGCTGGCTACTTGCTGCTATGCTTTACTAGTATTTTGATATGTTTCGTTTACAAAAAATTTCTTTTGTATTTCCATCATTTGCAATGGATCCAAAGATTAACTATTTTTTGGCTTGAGAATATGATGGAATAAAGCAAAATGGCTCACTAAATTGTCTGCACTTCTTTATTATGAAGCAACAGTTAGTCCATGTATTTTTCGACGCGATTTTCACTATGGGTCATTAGGAAACAGTCTCTCTGTGTTTTAGTACAGGGGTAAGACTGCGTACATCCGACCCCCCCTTACCCCACCGTAGGTGGGAGCCTTTGCGGCACTGGGGTAATGATGATGATGATGATGATGACAAAAAATTTCTTTTGTGCTGCAGTCGATTTTTGCAATTTAGAGGTCCTTTTGCTAAAAGAAGACACCCGCTAGTGGACTCAGGTGTAGTTGCTGAAATAAGAAGATGCCTTGAACATGGGCTTGAATTCCATGGAGAGCTATTAAATTTTAGAAAAGATGGAACTCCACTAATGAATAGACTGCGCTTGACTCCTATATATGGAGATGATGCCACATTATCTCATGTTATAGGTATTCAGTACTTTACAGAAGTGATTCTTGAGCTGGGTCCGCTGTCAGGATCCTCAACAGAGGAGTTTGCTAGATCATCTGTTAGGCACTGCTCTGGTCTTTCTCACTGCAAGCAAGTTTCCAATGGGAACCTGAATATTGCTACTGGAGTTTGTGGGATTCTACAGCTGAGTGATGAAGTTCTTTCTCTCAATATTCTTTCACAATTGACCCCAAGAGATATTGCATCTTTTGGCTCTGTTTGTAGACGGCTCAATGCTATGACAAAAAACGAACATCTCTGGCGTCTGGTTTGTCAAAATGCATGGGGTGGCGAAATGACTCGTGTATTAGAGGCAGTGCATGGAGTGAAGACATTATGGTGGGGCAGATTGGCAAGGGAGTTGACTACACTTGAAGCAGTGACTTGGAAGAAACTAACTGTTGGAGGTGCTGTTGAACCTTCGCGCTGCAACTTCAGTGCATGTGCTGTTGGAAACAGGGTAGTTCTCTTTGGTGGAGAAGGAGTCAATATGCAGCCCATGAATGATACATTTGTTCTGGACTTGAATTCCACTAGTCCTGAGTGGAAGAATGTTAAAGTGAGCTCTCCCCCTCCTGGCCGCTGGGGTCACACTCTTTCGTGCGTTAATGGCTCTCATCTTGTTGTATTCGGTGGGTGTGGAACACAGGGCTTACTGAATGATGTGTTTGTGTTGGATCTGGATGCAAAACTTCCCACCTGGCGTGAGATCATCTCAAGCCTGGCCCCACCCCTCCCAAGATCATGGCATAGCTCCTGCACCCTTGATGGGACGAAGTTGATAGTCTCTGGGGGTTGTGCTGATTCTGGAGTGCTTCTCAGCGACACCTTTCTTCTTGATCTGTCAATCGAGAAACCTATGTGGCGAGAAATTCCAGTAGCATGGACCCCGCCTTCTCGCCTGGGTCACACACTATCTGTCTATGGGGGCCAGAAAATTTTGATGTTTGGCGGTCTTGCAAAGAGTGGCCCACTTCGTTTCCGGTCAAGTGATGTCTTCACAATCGACTTAAGTGAGGAGGGGGAGAAGCAACCTTGTTGGAGATGTGTAACAGGGAGTGGGATGCCTGGTGCCGGAAATCCTGGGGGCATTGCACCTCCACCTAGGCTTGATCATGTGGCATTAAGTCTTCCTGGTGGTGGGATAATAGTGTTCGGTGGGTCGGTAGCTGGCCTTCACTCTGCCTCACAGCTCTACATTCTAGATCCAGCGGAAGACAAGCCCACATGGAGGATTTTGAATGTACCTGGTTTACCTCCAAGGTTTGCTTGGGGACACAGCACTTGTGTTGTTGGTGGAACGAGAGCAATTGTCCTGGGAGGTCAGACTGGAGAAGACTGGATGCTCAGTGAACTGCACGAATTGTCCTTGGCAAGTTCTTTATGATGCAGTGAAAAGTGTGATCAGTAAGGGTTGGTGTTCCTTTTAGTTATCATGTTGTTCGGCCTCATATATGGACAGCACAAGCGATGGTATATTGAGAAAATTGGAGATTCTCTAATTCTAGGGCTAGTTTATCCTCGTCTATACGGCTTCTGCTGTCTGTCGTTCAGGTCTATCGGAAAACATACCAGACCAACAAGAGTACAAGCCAAATGAGAAGGGAACACCAGGGTCTAGCTAAACACGGGTTTAATGTGCCTATCCTAAATTTGATATACAAAGTATGCACATTAGCTCCGATATATGGTGTACAAATTACGCACATTACCCCTCGTGATTTAAAATTTGCATCAAAGTTCCTGGTAAAAAATCAAGCAAGTAATCACTGGAATGACAAATTTAACTGCGAAAAGCACGCATCTTCACTCTTCAGAACGGCAAAGGCGCGTGTTTTGCCGGAGTTAAATTTGTTGTTCTAAGGTATTGTGTGCATGATTAATTATAACAAAGGTGGTTTGATACATTTTTTGAATCATAATAGAACAACAATACATGGAAATTATATATTATAAGGGGTTTGACGCACTAGATTAGGCATACCGGATAAGATTTTGTTTCGGTTGTAATTCTAGGGGTTGCCCCTGTCTTTGTCTGTTGCATCATGAATACTTATGCAGTCATATGTTTACTATTTATGGTGTGTGTATATAATGTGAATCCATTTGTTGTATACTCAACTGTGCACTTTTATTCACTTCCACCCTTTTTCTTGGAAATAACTCAAATAAGGCTTACTCCATCTTCATTTGAGACAGTACATCATACTTGCAGAAGTTGTAGCAGATCATTTTTTCACAACGTATAAAAAGTAGCAAGTCTTTCACGCACGAAAATCATAAAAAGGCACTTTCTTTAAAAAATGTACTCACAATTATTCTAAAACGTAAGCATTCATGTTTTTTCTATCACGGGTCCTGGATTGACCAATTCAAGTAACACCAAATCCTAACAAGTCCTTTTTTGTGTTCCTTAATGTGATGTTAATGCGACTGTTTTACTTCCATCTGCAACATATAAGAGTCCATTTAATGCACATAGTGAAAATTTCTCATGATCTATCTCATTCACAAATGTTACAAGTGTAAAGGAAGGTGGAGATCATCAAATTTGGATTGCTAAGATTTTTTATTTAAAATTAAATCTCTTGCCAAAATGCTAAAAACATAAGTTAGGGGTAAGAATTTTAAAGGTTTGATGCCCAACATTCGCCATGTTTGTGAGCTTTCATCGGACAAGCATCTCATTGTTCCCTGAGCTTTAACATAAGTGCTCTATTTATGCTCATTTTATTGAGCAATCAAACAGTAATGAACACAAAATGAGCCCAAACATGAGCTCTTCTCCTAACATCCTACATTCCTATTCTCTGTCCTATCTTTATCCCAGTTCATCTCTTTTGTCCGTCCTATTAAGTTTATCTCATGCCATGTTTGGTAATATTTGGTTGTTACACTTGATTTATTCACACTTCATCAATTTAATATCAATCACACAATTTCACTTTTCTTAATAATTACAACACTCCCTTTTGTCCTAATGTTAAAGGGATGGATGTCGTATTTTCTTTTGTTTTGCCAGAGAAGAAAATAACTCCCTTTTCAAATTACAAAAATAACTAAGAAGATTTGAGGTGCTTGAACAATAAGTTGAATAAAGAACATAGACCAAAGAGCTTGTAAGGTTTGAAACTCCTTGAACAAACAGTTCACAGCAGACCATGAAAGAGCATGTGCTACTGACTGCTGTTGGGTTACATTTATGTAAATATGTTTACATTTCTTTTACTTATTTTGAGTTTATTTTTACAACTAGTTGTACCCCTTGAGCTGCTTCTTTGAAACTATGCATTTATAGTTTCCAAGCGTCAGCAATCCATACTCTCTCTTACCTGAGCAGAAAGTCTTTCCAGAGACTGCTCATCAAAAGAAATGTCAAAATTTTCCCTAATTGAGGAAATAAAATCATTTGCATCCTGATATCTTCTTGCTCTACAGTACCCGTTTACAACAGTTTTATAAGTGACCTCATTGGGTCTGCAGTTGTGCTGAATCATGTAACTGAGCAACTCATATACTTCTGAGAACATCCTATGTGAAGCATAACCAGCAGCAAAAGTGTTGTACGTAATGATACAAGGTTGTATTCCACTTGCTGTCATCTTGGAGAAAAGCTTTATAGCATCCTGCATAAGCCCTTGCCTACAAAACCCTTTTATGGCAGTGTTAAACGACACACGATCTGGCTTTTCACCAAATTCTTCCAGCCTGTTCAAGATCTCTTCAGCTTTCCAGCAGTCACCAGTTCTTGCATAAAGATCGATTAAGGTATTATAGGTTAACAGATCAGGCTGCAGACCCATATCTTGAATCGATTGCATCACCTCATTTGCACGGCCAGACATGCCATTTCTTGCAAATAAAGAAAGCATGGAATTAAATAAAATCAAATCAGGTCTATACCCATTTTTCTGCAATTCCTGAAATGCCCTCTCCATGCCTTTGATTGATCGACATTTGACATTTGCAAGAACAAGACTTCTCAGAACCACCCAGCTTGGATAAATGTGTCCATCATAAACTTCTTTTGCAATCCTGTCCACATCTCTAGCATTGCCCCCCTTCGAGTAGCACTGAAGCATCAAAGAGTGAGTGGTTTCGTTGGGCTTGAATCCTTTACTTTCCATGTCGGATAATATAGACTTAGCAGACTCCCAATCACCCCTATGAGCAAGGGCATTTAGAAACGCATTATATGTGGTGACAGATGGACTAAATCCAGCTTTGACCATTTCGTCATACATTTTACCTGCATTGATATCAGACCCACACCTGGCATATGCACAAATCAAAGTGTTAAATGTGTCTCTGTCAGGTTGAAAGCCACATTTCTTCATCTCATGGAGAACACGATTTACATAGTTTTGCATTCCATTATTTCCACACATTGCAAGCACTGTGTTCCAAGTAATACGATTAGGCGAACAACCATTAAGCTTCATATCAGATATCATTTCCATTGCATCTTCAATTCGGGATTTCTTCACCAGAGTTGCAATGATTGAATTATATGTACAGACATTAGGGACACAGCCAGACCGTTTCATCTTTTTTAGCAAGTCAAAAGCCTTTTCTTCTTCCCCAGCTTTACCATAAGCATCAATGACTGTGGTATAAGAGATAGAATTAGGCATTATACCCTTCTGCGACATAGTGTTTATAAGTGCAGCGCCTTCTTCGAAGAAACCTGCCCTGACATAAGCTGCCACAAGCTCATTGTATGTAACTGAATCGGGTGGGCAGTTGTTCCCCTCCATTTCATCAAGCACAGCAAGAGCATCAGTGTAATTTCCAGCCTTTGCATAAACATGAAGTAAAGAATTATACGTAACTGTTCCTGGAACATAGCCCTGTGACTTCAATCCATTAAAGAAATTCTTTGCTTCTTCAAACAATCCTTCCCTAGCACATGCAGATATGACAGTGCTGCAAGTGAACTCATCAAATTCAAGTCCCTCTCCCCTCATCTCATCTAGGATGCTTATAATCTTATTCCAGGATCCACCCTTCCTGCCATAAATGTCAAGAATGACATTGTACATGACTAAATTAGGTGGCAAACCCCTTTCCTTGATATATTCCAACAATGCTATTGCCTTATCATACTTTGCACTACGAGAGTAGGCATGAAGAACAGTTGTCCATGCTCGAGCATCGAGTGAGTAGTCCTTGAATGGAATTACATCAAACAGATTCGATGCTAACAAGTGCTGCGATTCTCTTCCTAAAACCCTGACCATATATTCTATAACCTGACCATCAAGCATTTCACTTTCGGCATTTGAATTCAAAACAACCCATTCAAACAACAAGATGGCTCTATCCCAGTGTCCCATAATGTCCAAACCTTTCGCTAGACTCATCAAATCGATTTGAACCAACTGGGATATCATAGAATCAAAAAACGCGCGCAAACCGGACATGGGCTGTTGAATAATTGAATTGAGAATCGACTTACAGTTTTCCGAGAGAAAATCCAGCGACAGATCATTCGGAATTCCGGGAACAGCCACTTCGGAACAGTGACCCCCGGTTCTAGGAACTGCAATGCAGTCAAGACTCCGTTTCTGCGCTCGAGCATCTTGTGTTTCCAGGTTTCGCGGAGAGGTGTCTTGAAGGTGCTGGAGAAGAGAGTCGAGTGGGAAAGATGGAGAAGTTGAATTCTGGTGCTGGAGAGGAGGGAGATGAAGAGTTGTCGGAGTGAACGTGAAGCGTGGGTTGGGTGGCTGAGGAGCTGAGGGCTTTGTTTGTTGAACTGGCAACATCGGCTTCTTGGGAAAAAGGGTACCCTCCATTGTTGAAATGCAACGGGAAAATCAAATGAAGTTTCATATACAGTATGCGACCAGATAAGATCTGCGACTATGTTCTTGGCCAAGAATAATGGCGCTGGATTGTAAATTCAACTCACAAAGGATGACACAGTCTACCGGTTTGCCCACACATCCATGTCTACAATTCTACCCATTAAAAATGCTCACCAATTTTATTTATAAGAAAACTGAAAATAATAATAAGTGCAATTCTTTTTTTAGAATCAAATAACTAATTTATTCATGTCAACTAATAACAAAGAAACAAGTAAATGAATAGTCTAAGACTACAATGGAACAAGAACATTGAAAGGAAAAAACATATGAGTCCTTCCAGATCGCTAATCCGTCAATAATGTAGTCTAGTCTAATAATCTTACACTCTTACTGAAATAGCTACTCCAAATAAAAAATGAAAAATTACAAATAAAATACTCGGCTTCACCAATCACTAAAAAGGGACAATAGATTTGACCAGCTGAAATTGTATGAATCATCAGTTTGACCAGCTGCCGAAAGAAGATCCAGTTGAGCACTTTTTTTTTTCCGGAGCGAGGCGGTGATTCAGGTGGAGGGCGCATAATTGAAGCCCCAGAACTACAAGGTTGAAAAAACTTTGCCAACCATGAACAACGAAAACTCACCAGGTCAATTACACTGATGGAAAACTCATAGTCTCCAGACATTGCTAGGAGAAAAATATACAACACGATCACATGAAGCAGACAAATCTCTAGATCAAAGAAGACGTCGGACCAAAACCCTCGAAAGTAAAAATTAAAAAAGAGCGGAAGCATAGAAAATCTTTAATTCGATACTTCACTGCCTAGAGAACATCATCATCCTTTTCAAAACTCTTGCTGATCGAAGAAGAGAAAGCTCAAATATCATGGCTGCCTAGGGTTTTTCATGGGGTCGATCGTGAATTATAAACTCAATTGTTGTTGGTCCCAACTCCCAACTTTAGATTATTGCTGGATGGTTTTCATTATAGAACATTTTTTCAAAAATAGTCTATCAGTGACTACACCTGGTATAACAATACCCAAGTTACTTTCAAATAAGAACTAAACGTAAGGTATAAACAATCTCAATTGTAGCCGTTCTATTTTTTATTAATCTCAATTGGCAACTCCCAATTTTGGGAAGATATATTTTTTTCTATAAACATTTTTAAACATGTAAAAGTAATTACGAAATTCTACAATTTTGTGAGGTCTAAATCAATGCTTTTAGTCAAATTTAATTTATTTTCAGTAAATTTTAGTTATGCTATCTTAATTACAATTTTAAATTTTGTATTATTTTCCTTTATTCAAATTTACATTTTTTTTGTTTTTAAAAATGTAAATTTAAAGATTTACGGGCTTTTCTAGCGTTTTCTGGAAATAATTATTTAATTTAATTTTGTTATGCTCTCTTAATTCTAAATATTGAAATTTTCCATTTTATCCATTTTAGTATTTCTAATTTATTTTTACTTTCTTTATTTGATACTATCCTTCGTTCCATAAAAGTTGTAACAGTTTGACTTTCACGTTTACCAACGCACAACTTTGATTGTAATTATATTTATTTACGTATTAGTAAACATTAAAAAAGTTAATATATTGGAAATTTACATTAATACAAATTTATTAATATTTTATACATAATATTTTTACTAAATATGTATATTATTAGAAAATCGTAGTTAAAGTAAGGTGTGCGAATAGTGAAGAAATTCCAATGTTGCAACTTTTATGGAACGAAGGAAATATTCAATTTTCCATTTTATCCATTATATTCGGGATGTATTTAAAAGTTTACTACACTTTCTCTTAGCTTTTGGCAAGTTATTCCTTTAAAGTATATCTAATTACCCTTTCTTTTTCTATTTTTTTATCTTCTCTTTCCTATCTTTTCACCTTCTCTCCTACTTTTTCTACAAAATTCATTACCTCTTATATTTCCCCCTTAAATATTGTGTCAACACCTAAATGTAGCGATCTTTTAAATACAAAGGTAGTATAGTTTATCATTTAAATTTTAAGATTTAGGGTATAGGTTTTGGAAGTTTTGACTATTTTTAATGAAAATATCTCAATATTATAATTTTAATGATATATAAATGTATAATGTAGAAAAAGTCTAAAATAGCTTGAAATAAAGATGAAAATATATGAACAGCGGATAAAAAGCGAGAAAGATAAGAAGATTTATGTATATAAGTGAAACATTCACAAAAATAGGAAAATGATGCATATAATAAAATATTTTCATAATGGTATTTATGGAAATTTAATAGATAAGGATATAGTACTATTTTTTTACTTTATTTGCAGTGTTTTGGATTTATTATATAGGGGCTACTAAAAATGCACTAACAAGAGTTCAACAACAATAACAACATCCAAGTCTTAATTCCAAAATATTTTGGACAAACAATAGTTCGGATTATTATAAATAGGCATTCTTTTGTAATCGGGACAACCGGTGACCGATCACGGGAGATTATTATTGAAAGATGACTCATACACTTGGGACCACCCCAAGGACAACTGGTTAACGGTCACGAGAGACTATAATAAGATGGTGATAGTGAAGATGAAGAATGTAATATAACATTTTTTTTGACTTAACAAATTATATCATATGTTCTAATATATACTTATATCGGGATATTTAGTTTAATATTTTACATATTTTTGTAAATACAAAATGTTTACCTATTGAAATTGCTCCCTCTGTAATTCGCATCAAGTTCATCAAAATGAATCACATCTAACTACATCCTACCCTTTAAAAAGTAAATAACCAAGTTCCATTAAACGTATATTAACATTAGTTAATCAATCAAGCTAATGAAAATTAGTAAGTCAAAACTAAAATGAACTCCATTAATTAATTTCAAGGAGAAACTAATAACAATAATAATAATAATTTCATGAGAAATAATTTTCAATACAATTTATCAAAAGCTACTAAATAACTAGTGGAACTAATTATCTCCGAAAAAACTAGTAGAACTAATTAATTTCAAATAAAATAAAAGATGATCTAAGGGAATGAAGTGATTCACAGTGACTTAGTTGCAATTAATCCCTCTTTCTCTCACATATCGTTGTCGGAAAGCATTTATATTAACTAAAGTCAAACCGATTCTAAATGACACGTATGCGACTATGACTACATATTTAATCTGTTCAAAGCTTAGATTGTTAGAATTTCCACACCGGAAACTTGTGAAGGAATAAAGTGCTATTTTAAGATTTGAGTTTCTCCTCCTATCATGATATCAGAGCTAAATCGATCCATGGTGTGGGTCCCCTATGAAAAATGACGATACAGTTATAAAAAAATTGACAATGACGAACTGATGAAAAATGAATGACGGCACGATCCAGACGATGTGTCTGGTCGTGAGGAGGGGTGTTAAATTCCCACACCAGAAACTTGTGAAGGAATAAAGTGCTATATTAAAACATGGGCTACTCCTCCTATCAGGTTGACCTTTTAGAACGGAACCTCAGGTCTTAACATGATATCTGAGCCTAATCGATCCATTGTGTGGGCCCCTTATGAAAAATTGACGACACAATTATAAAAAAAAACTGACAATGACGAACCGACGAAAAAATGAATGACGACACGATCTAGACAATGTGTCTGGTCGGGAGGATGGGTGTTAAATTCCCACACTGGAAACTTGTGAAGTAATAAAGTGCTATATTAATACATGAGCTACTCATGCTATCCGGTTGACCTTTTAGGATGGAACCCCAGATCTTAACATGGTATCAGAGCCAAACTGATCCATAACTATGGTGTGGCCCCCCTTATGAAAAAATGACGACACGATTAAAAAATGACAATGACGAGCTGATGAAAAAATGACTGACGGAACGATCCAAACGAAGTGTCTGGTCGTGAGGAGGGGTGTTAGAATCTCACACCGGAAAAGTTCGAATCAACAAAGTGCTATATTAAGACATGGACTCCTCCTATCAGGTTGTTCTTTGAGGATGGAACCCCAGATCTTAACATAGATCATCAGATTCCCAATTGCTTAGAAGTATATCGTACGGCTTATCCATCTTTAATCCAAGAACTTTCACCGCCAACGTTTCTAATCCAATGCTCAGCAACTCTTTCGACCGGTAAATACATGCCGCCAGAAGTTGTAAATCAAGAACATTTCCCACAACCAACCTATGATCTTGGAGGAGTTGATGTGCATGCTCTTGGACCCCTATGGCGACAAATGTGACAAGTGGATTGGTGAGGAAAGTGGCCAAAGAATGTGGAAATCGATCCTTGTGGAGAAGTTGAAAAATAAGGCACTTCTTCCCGACACAAATTTGGAGTGTGGCAGTGAGATTGTTGTTCCATGGACGGTAAGGATGCCACTTGATGTCTAGACCGGCAATGATGAAACGGTGTCCACGATGGCGATGGAGATCAATAATTTCAGATATCCATGCGTCGACTTGAGACCCAACTTTGATGATGGTGACCTGGAGATTGATATCATGAAAATCAACCGAGTGTAGTGTTGCCATTATTTTAAATTTATAAGGAAATTGAGGGGATGACATACGAATACAAAAGGTATAAAAATGGGGGGTGAATGCGTAATGGAGATTGTATGAATGGTTAATGGAGGGATACTATTTATAGATTGAGAATCGAAATTCTAGGTCTACTGGTATTCGTACTTGAGTTAGAGTTGAATGAATAAGCGAAGTAAATTGAGGTGAATATGATTTCCTAAAACGCTATGTTGGGATTATGAGTGATGACCAGTCCAAAATCTTTTTCGGATTCCGATTGGGATGGGGTTGTGAATTGATGACTAGTCAAAGTATAATTTCGGGTCTATTTTGAGCTCGATCAATTATGTTTTTATTAGGGGTAATTTGAATTTACACCACATTTTATTGTCCAAATTAGACTTTGCACCGCGTTTTTAAAAAAATTTGTATTTGCACTCGAGCCCCTTATGAAAAGACAAAAAAGCCCCTCAATCAGAAATATGTTGAAGGCCAACATAATTGTTAATGGAGGGGAATTTTTGTCTTTTCATACGGGGTTGGGTGCAAATACAAAGTTTTTTTAAAAATGAGGTGCAAAGTCTAATTTGGACAATAAAATGGTGTGCAAATTCAAATTATCCCCTTTTACT